ACCATATTTAACGATTCTATAGCCTTGCAGATGTAATTCTATAAATGCAACTATGTATGCTACATTATTTAATCGTTTCCATAACTGATCTCTCTTCTTTTCTGCCCAGCTTTGTGAATCATAATGATCATATAATGCAGGAATATGCTGATCATATTCAGGCACGTCTTTAGCTTGAATTCTATCTTCATAATTATATCCTACCCGATTATAGTATATATACCAATTATCAGGAACTCTTATTTTGTGAGGAGTTATACTTAGAAACTTCTTCTCATCAAGGGTACCATCATTTCTCACCATATTCCAAACTCAGTTTGCCCATGTTTCAGGTCTCAACTTGTAAGCTCTCCAAGCCCGTTAGATAATTTTTGCACTGTTAAATATAAAATAAGCAATTCTTTGTCTAAATTTATAATCTGTATTATATGTATTAAAACTACGCTGTGAATATACAGAATAATTTATAAAATTCCATCAATCTCATCGGAACTAAGTAATGATACTCTTCCCACATTTTTTGTATTCGTTCATATAGGATTAAAAGATGCTATACGCCTTTCAGCTGTTTTAGCAATACATTTATTTGGGTGATTATTTGCACATTCTATAGTATTTTCACGAATAGATACTAAGAAGTCACATACAGTACAATAAATATAAAATGAACATCTTCCAGCTTTAAATTCTCCATCTTTATAAAACCTTTCAGTCATATGGATGAATCTATTCTTAGAAAAGTATTTTGGATTATTTTCAAGAAGTGTCTTAAATGGATAATGAATACGAGAAACCACATTTCTGATGTTTCATTACTATAGCTATATTGCAAATTGTTTAACACCCGCATTACTACAGGATTTAAACGAGAATAGTAGTTAGTTCTAACCATTTTATGGGTATAAAAAGTTTATAGCAATTTACGGTTTATAGCAGTTTTAAAGACTTATAGCAGTTTGTATCAAGTATATTATAATAAAATATCAGATTCATTTTTTTATTTGATTACAAGCATATCAAGGGTTTATATAAGGTTTACATCTGGCTATGTGCATATTCACATGCATGTAAGGGATTTTCCAATGGCATAATTTGGCTAAATTAGTTCAAGATAATATAATAGCTAAATTATTTTAATCAGAGGTGAATGACGTATTACAGGAATCATCTTAGCTCCCAGCCAGTTCTACGACAGTTTCCTGGCACTATCATGATGCTGAGATATTTCTCAAATCCAGTGCTGGGAATGATCGCTGCCCGGAAAATTCAGAGTATAAGATGATTAGTCAGAATACAGGCTATGTATGGATCTCTCATGATTAACAGGAATTAGTCAGACGCTTCACATGATATATATTATATCCAGGAGTGATTAGCATATACATTTCACATATTTATTCGAAAAAAGATAACCTATCCTAGGCAGATATGTTATATACTATACTTATGAAAAAAAAAGTTTGAAATGACCCACCAATACATGCTGTATCATATAATAATCGTGAAGACTCTTCTCACTTCTAACCAATAGAAGTGGGGATCTACCAGCTAATTATATGATAATATCTTTTCTGGCGAATAATATCACATCACCTATATATAGCATACATTTGGTTAAAATGACTTGCAAACTAACTTTATTTATTAATCATAAGAAATAGCAAAGATAAATTAAAAAAAAACATTTTGATATATGATATAGTGATCACATGGCATAAACCATAGTTCATGTGGTCTACAATAATTCCTGAGTAAAATGAGCTATAATACTTTTGATTTGAGTATCTGTAAGCTTTGAAATATTATCTGCACTATAGGATTGAACCCTCTTGACTTTTTTAATCCCTATTTTACTAAACAATTCGAAAATATTTCTTGCCTTCTGTGTCTTCTTACGTAAATTTTCTCTTGTAATATTTGAAAGATGTTTTAAAATTGCATTATATACCTGGGTCCTAGCCTGTTGATCTTTAACCCTCTTATCATTAACTTTAACATCCTTAACACTTTTTTCAAACTGTTCAGCGTAGTAGTACCAACAGTAAATTTCCTCTTGATAAGCTTGAGTTACACACTTTTCAGCCTTAATTGCTTTTTGAAATAATCGAGCTAAATTCTGCAAGATTGAACCCTCAGAACTCTCATCCTCATTATTGGTTTCGGTAGTCTCCTCCTTAATAGGTGTAGATAATTCATGTAATAACCCTCGAAATCTTTCCTGTTCACGATTAGTTCTTGGGGATGTTTCTCTTGATGATCGAATTTGTGTATTAGCAATGTCATCTTCAGTTGTTTAATTAGTCGAATTATCCATCCTTCAATCATAGGTTTCAGGGAATAAACAGAATGAAAGATAAGTGTAATTACTACATATTCCATTTTCACTGCATTACCTACCTTATTTGAGAACTATGATTGTTATTCCCATCATCATCATTTTTAGCATCATCAATGATATCTGATAGCTCTGGTATCTCTTCCACATATGCAATTAGACTTGTCGCTTAATCATATGTAGTAACTTCAGTTCTCTTTTCCTCCTGACTCGCAAGAGAATCTTTGTCTTCTATAGTATCATCACTTAAGGGGGTCTTTTTTTCTGAAATCATTATTCTTAGACACCATGCGATACTCACCAGAAGCTAGTGCAAGTTCCTCCCTAATAAGTTTGATAGGTGATATACAACTAGAATAGGGCATAAAGAAAAACATGTTTTTAATTGTACAATATGTTTTTCAAGACATATTCGATGATATATATGTTCACATGATAATACCATGAATGAATGAAGAGGTAAGGCAAGAATTTCTTCATCGCAGAAGTGGCAAGGATTAAGTTTCAGAATATGTTCATCAGTTATTTCAGAAGTGTTTCTTAGGAAATTTAACGAAAGTGCTTTAAGTTAAAAAATCTCTGTATCATTTGCATGAATTTTTAAAGGACTTGCTGGTAGTTCGCTAGTCATACTATTAAATCATAAAGAAGATTTCTCGCCCTTTTCTCCCTACATAAATATTTTTCATATATCAAGACTAAAATGAAATTAGCCTTACTCTGAGAAAAATTATCTCAGAAATGAGTGTCTCAGAAATGAGCAATCTCGAAAATGAACATCTCAGAAATGAGCATCATAGAATAAAGATCACGAATAAATCAGGATCAATAATGAAAAGATATGTATAATACCAATTAGTTTGTATTGTCCGATTTTGCCATAGCCCACCTTCTCATAAATTCGAAGCCAGAAAAGCCCTCAGGGACCTAACATGGTTGAGCGATAAAATGCTCATATGTCTTAAAAAAAAGACTACTATACTCCCAGTTAAGGCTACGATCGTCGCAAAACATGAAAGTTTCTGAAACAAATATAGTAATCCTAATAGTCGATTAATTTGCTGATCCTGAATGAAACAACATTCTGAAATTGACCTTTATTAGGACAGGCGATCTTGAATGAATATGCAAATTAGTATTCAAGAATCAAGAAAGGTATTATCTTTGCTTTGATTTCAAACATCTATAAAGCAGATAACATAACCTTTAGTCACAAACTATATGCGGAATTCAGAATAGATTTTTCAACTCCTGCTTCACATATTCCAATTTCAAAAATGAGATTATTCCAGGATCATTTATCAGAATAAAAAAATAATGCAAATATATATGCAAATCTTACATCACACAGGCGTTATATGTGACTAATTTCTCATATACTGGTAAAATAATACTTTATTTATGAAATAAAAAATATTGCTGAAACCCGGCTTACAATATATAATAATACTATTTATTTTTTGGGATGAGATATTTCCCTAAACCTTCTTTTGCTTCTCAAACACCTGTTACCAAAGGTAATGATAGTTAGATTTCAGTTATAACATTATGCAAAGTGCCTTCGACTAAATTAATCACTCACTTAGCTCCTTAATATAATCCTCAAGTTCTAATGCTTGTCTTAATATCATTCCATATTCCTTAAATTTCCATCTGGTTAGCTTGAGAAATAAATTACCAGTGATTTCTTCATCACGAAGCTTCATAAAAAAGCTATTGTCAAGTTCTAAGCCTCTTAATTTAGGATCTTCCCGCAAAAATTTGATAAGACTTTCCACTTCATATTCTTTTAACATGTCAGCTTTAGTGGAGGTGAAAGACATCTTGCTTTCCTAAATATAAGAGCCCATAGTGATTTTTTTCGCTCTCATACATACACAACTTCTGGCATATACATACCTTAATTTTTTGTGGGAAGGTTGTCTGAACTTCCACACATTCCTGCATGCTTTATATCTTGCTGGAAAAATGTTAAGGAGGTATGTGGCGTAATTAACTTTGTCGTATAATGCCAAGAGCTTTATGAAAACACATGCAAATGGAATTCTCATACCTTTTCACATGTAGATCTACCGGAGAGACACATTGGTCTTACGCCTGGCGATCTCAGAATTGCGAGTCCCTCAGCCTTTCATAATATATGCTTTTGCCATTGATATTTACTTTTACAGTAGGTCTCGTATTACAACTAGACCTCCTTTCACATTTTTCTCACATTTGTTCGGGAAAAAATTAGAGGTACTGGTTAGCGAATATATATGCGAAATTAATATGCAAAATGTTGCACAGACCTATTATGTGATTAGCCTATTTTGTTACACAATCTGTAACTCAGCAAAAAAATATTCTGAACTGATGGATCACTGCTCCGGACTAGTCAGAGTATCTTAAACGGAGAGGTACATTATTACTATAAACATCTTCACCCTCTGATTCAGTCTCATCCTCAAAGCTCGAATATTCAGACTCTGTTTTAATATATTCCGAATCATAATACTCACTTAGATCAATATTTTTCATAATTTCATGATGTTTGAAAAATTTGGTTAATATGACTTCTCCATCTGATTCTATTGCAATAAATTTGGGAAATAATAGCTTGTAGAATGTATGTAATGAAAGAGGTAATTTCCAAAGATTTTTTCTACAGCGATATTGCCTTTTTCGTTCTTTGATCTCTTTAGATTTATTAACGTACCATGATGGGCTTTGATGTCTGTCAACAGCATATCCCGTATGCATTAGCTATACAGTTCCTAAAACCAAATCATATTCAGGCTTGTCAATAACTACAAAATTTTCTGTATCATTTTCAAAATATAAAGGGGATACTATACCATCAAAGATATTTGGCAAAGCGACTGAAACTTCTTCTCTATCAACCCATCCCCTTCTCATCACTTTCTTGCTAGCATTTGTTGCGCCAATGCCTAGGTCTCTCACTGCAGGATATCCTGATTCATATTCTCTAGAAATATATAAATCCATTTTTTGGGTAAGCGCCTTACTAATACTACCATGGAAGGATTTGGGATCAATAAGTGCTTTAACAATTACTTTAGCTCGAATGAATGTACAATTCACTATTAATCTTTTGCGAATTTCTCGAATCACCTCATCTTTCCATATATTATTTATAGTACAACATTTTTTAAGATCCTGTATCAACAGATTTTTTAGAATAAATGGTATTAGTTCCAGCGTAAGCTGATTAAGTAAATTAGCTATATGCATTTTATATAATTAGAAGAATTTTCAATTGAAAAATAAGGCTATTGTTAGCTAATATTTTCTTTTGATATATGCAAAAATAAAGATGTCATACAAACCTGTCTGGTAATCCACCTATTTTTTGTCGCACAATCTCCCGCAATACTAAACTACCAGGAAGGAATTTATTTCTGAATTTCAGCTAACATTGCATTAATTTTAGCTAACATTGAATCCATTTCTATTGTTTGAGACTTTCTTTCGGCTTGGACCTGAGTACTGCTATTCCTAGCCTGAAGTATATGTGAAGAAGCCTGTGCTTGAAGTTTTGAACAATCACTTGTCTCTGGTTCAGATTTAGGCTCCTTCTTCGATTCTGGATCACCTAAAGCGTAATTCTTCCTTACATCAAGATGGCCGATTTTATGCCTTAATGCGATTTTTGAAAGATTGTAAGATGTTGAGGGGTTGGATTTGGACTGGCATAAACCATCAAGATGTGTTTAGCTCCTATTTTTCTTAGAAGCTCAGGGGTAATCTCATTTTCATTCTAATTAGTTTTTAAACTCTTTATGAATTTGGTAAATGACACATTATTACGCTTTCCAGTTTCAGTATAAACTGGATCACGCAACTTTCCAGCCTTAATAGCGTCTTGAATCCAAGTAAGTAATTCCCTAGCACGTTCTAAATTCTTTTCCATAGAGAGTAAGCGCATAGGCATCAGATTTTCTCTCTGTTTATGACATTCAGTGCAATACCAAGAATAATCAGCTTTATACCACGCTGGCGGATCTTCAGAATTTGATTTGTAATTAATAATCTGGAGAGATGATACTTCAGCAGGCCTCATGCTCAGCATCACTATCACATTCGCGAGATCTTGCATAGAGGGAATTTTAGAAGTATCGATATTCTGGAGTCTCCTAAGCACCTTCTCAAAGGTAAAATGCTCTGGAGTTTTACCTGGATCAGCCAAGCGCTTCTCAGTCTATTCTTGCTGGATTTTGTTAGAAGCCATAGTGGTCTTCGAATCTTTGGCATAGCGATCAATAAGTTTGAGATCAACCCTGTACTCTGCTAAATACTTATGAAATCGTGATTGGTTTGAGCTAGAAGCAACTATTTCTTTATCATCAATTACTCCATCCTTACTTCCTTGTGGTCCCAAAGATAAAGTATTAATGAAAATATCCCACTTGTCTTCACTTTCAGTGACTTCTTGAGCCCTTTTTCTGACAGAATATATCTTATTTCTCTGGTCTGACACGAGAGCCTCTATCTGCTCTTTGCTAAATATACTTCTTTTTTCAGTGCCTCTTGTAAGGGCTTCCTTAACACACTTACGGGCCTTTCAATCTGGAAGTAAAGTACTAAGTTCAGAGGCATGTTCACTTAATTTCTCTGGACTAGACTCTGTGAATAAGTTATATTTTCCTAAGAATTGTTTTAGAATCAAAACGAATTTATTAGTTTTTGCTTTCCGGGTTTTTTGGGTGGATTCTGCAGTAGACATGTCAATATAAGAAGATATCAGTTGTTTCTTCTACTTATATTATGTGAGAAAAAATTCAATTCAAAAAAAAATAAATAATTCTTTCTCTGAATAATTTAAATACAATTTTTATTACGAAATTAAAAATAAAAAGGTTTTATATCCTAAAATACTTACATGGATCGTGTTACTTACCCGCATATCAAGAGAAATAGTTCTATTTGTGGGAGAGTCTGTACTTGTACTACTGGTTGTTCAAGGCACTGGAAATTATATGAAAAAAATATGAAAAAAAAACTATGTCTGGTTTGTGAATTTCCTACTGATGCTGATTCGGGGTATTACGCCAAATATTATTCCAAATATTCTGCAAAGTACCATGCATATAATTATTGAATGAGGCAGAAGTATATAGCCAAAACTGGGACTCTTCAGCTTGCAAAAACCTCTGAATTATCAGATGAGACCCCCTTAACCTACAGAGACCTTTGAATTATCAGATGTGATCCTTCAACCTGCAAAGACCTATGAATTATCAGATGGGGAAGAATCAGATAGGTTAGATTTATTTGGTTGAGGCTCTTCAATCTAGAAAGACCTCTGAATTGTCTACTGAGAAGTAAGCAAAAAAAATATTATTTTATTTATATCATTAATTCGAATAGCGCTATTTTTTAATATATAAAGGCATATTTCTGGAATGGGGCTTCTGCGTAATTATTATATAAATATTGGCAGAAGCCCCCATCTTAAAGTATATATGACCAGATTCTGTAAACTCCAGTAATGTATTTATACTGCTTTATAACAGTTTTACTTATACAATATCAAATAAATCTTGAATATCTTCCGCAATTGGTATAGTATTCACATTAGAACTGGGGATATCTTTGGTTTGTTTATTCTCCAAAAGATTGTCCATTAATATTTCATCGGGTGAGAGCTTACTATACCCATACCGAGTATATTTCCCATTTTTCCAATAAATTTCTTTTCCTGTTTGATATGGAGGTAACTTAGGGGCATTATTATTATCGAATGATCCAACAAGATGGTAATGTCTGCTATATTTGTCTATAGCCTTAATTTTCAATTCATATGTTGTATATAGCGCTGAATTCAGTAAACTGAGTTTCGCTCAATCTGTTTTTAATCCTGATTTTTTAGCTCTGCATAATGCATCTGTATTATCGAATACTTGAGCCATTCTAGGAGCTAAATCCTGGAGATATGATATCGACTCAGGAGTGTTCAAGCACTTTTTGACATCATCAGCTTTATATCTTGATCTATCATCGATATTTTTAGCTGGTGTACAAATTCTTAGTAATTCCAGACATATACGATGTCTCTCAGCTCGAGTGGTAGTTGTAAGCCTATCTTTTCTGTAATCTTTACGAGTGATAGCTTCAACAGCCATTTCATTGTTAGTACCAGCATCTCGCACTTGTCTATAAGCTCTGAACCATTTCATATGATTATAATTTTCATACTCCGAAATGAAATCTTCGGTTAGTAATTCGGGTGGAATCTGATAGCATTCCACAATATGATGTCGGTCTAAAGAGCGCATTTCTTCTAAAGTCTTTCTTGGCTTATTTTCCAATAATTTAGCAGTCTCATGATCAAGGATAATAGCATTAGTTATTTCTGATATCTCCTCTGCTTTAATGGTAGCAGAATTCACCTTCACAACTTGAGATAATGATGTATTATTTTCACCAGGTTTAGAAATATATTTTATGGTGGAAATTATCATACCCACCTCTCTGAGAAAATCGACCATTCTCTAACCAAATAGTCGCCGGGAATGGAATTTCTCCAACATATATACTACCCATAATCGAACAGTTGGTACGTCTTTATTCCGGATGATAGAGTCTATATCTGGAAATATTCCTCTATTTTGAAGTTCTCAGGTGAGACATTCGCGTTTAGCATTCAACAACCACTGAAATAACCCCTTTTCTGTAATGGGAACATTATATGATCTTTGTTCGATGTGGCATATATAACCTTTAATGTATCGCATACGGAATAACATCTGATTCGTTCCAGCATTTGTTTTTATATAGCTATTGAAGAGGCAGAATGCCTGCTCAAACTTTGGATTAGTACATGAAATGCCTATTTTTAGAGTACTTGTATATGCAACTAGATCAACATTGTTCCATGATTCTTCTACGTTACTGAAATCATGAGCCTTTTCTACAGGATCAGATTTACCATGATATTCCTTGATCCGTAATTCTGGAAAATCAGTCTTAAGAGCACGAACAATCCCTTGTACATTCTTTCTGAAGTGGCAGATAAGTGATACGCTTTTCCAACTCTCAAAAGGTAATAAAGACATCTGTTTGGCCCAATCCCAGAGTTCGGCTAATACTGTTTCTTTATTAGGGGCTAGGCGGAATATCTTACCTTTCTGGGATTGGAAAGTGTTGTGAATAATAGAGAATAGTTTATCCTTATAAAGGGCTTTAATCCATTCGATATTAAGATCGGTGAGATCATTATCCATGACGATAATGCGTCTTGCGTCTTGAACCAATTTATATAACTTTTCTA